TGCTTGAAGCGCGTCCACCATAGACCTTGCATGTAAACCTGAGGCTCCTGATGCTGAAATCACGTTCGGTGTGAACGCACCATAAGTCGCCAATGGAACCAGAACCACAGAAACGCGCGTACACCAGCCCTGGAGTTGGCGTGGGGCTGCSCACATTTCCATGTTCAGTTGAGTTTTGATACATACGGAGTTTTGCATGGTTAATGATGTACGCAAGGTTTTTGTGCGTGCGCTCCATTGATACATGAGGCCCCTGATGATGGTGGGGTAGGTGGTAGAACTTGACTTTTCTTGGTTGAAAAGAGCGTCCAGTTTTAAATTTAGCTCAACCTTTAGAAATGCTTTTCAGTCTATATATTATATAAGGCAAAAACAYGTTGCTAAGGTACACCTGTCTGCAATGACTGATGTTTCTAATTGGCTGAAGCTRACCAATGAAAAACAAATAATTCAACTCAGAAATCTAGCCATGATCGTTTACATCGACAGCCACCCCTTCCAATATAACATGCTCGTACCACAACAATCAATCTTCTGAAGCACGATGCTTCTATTCAAAACACCTGATTGCTGTCCCTGCTGTAGGCAATAATGCACCCCTATACCATTGGAGAAGCTGGCTTTTGAACCATGTGCTGAAACCAGGTTCTCATTTTGCACGGGGGATGTGACGTTCATGGTTTTCCAAAATTAATTTCACAGTTTTCCACTTTGCCTCAGTCCATTTTAATAGAGTTTAAGGCCCCCACGTACTCGGGTGTACTTCGCTCCGTGGAGGTCCGTGCAGATTCAATGTGTGCCCAATGCAGCCGTCCACCAGACTGGTCCTCGCAGAGATCCATTTTTTACGTTCACAGTGTCGCACAATAAACTGCCCAGCGAGTTCATGTCAAACTGTTTTGGATGCGACACCAAGCAAGCAAGCAGATAAAGTTGAGAACTGGTGTCCTTTGTGGACGAAATGTAGTCAACATTTGAAGAGTGTCCCGTGGAGGAGATTAGAAAACTATGATTTATCAATGAAGGAATATAAGGACTTTCAGCGAGCAACAAATTTGTGGGAGGAAATAGCTCAGATCCTGGGTAGTTTTTTTCTTTTTTTCTTTTGTTGTTTTAAAAACTAAAATGCAAACTATGTCTTCCTCCTCATCCTTGACACCCTGACTGAAATTGTGAGAAATTAAAAAATTTGTCCAGCGGTCAGTACGCTCGAGTATGAAGTCTCAAATGTCCGCAGAAAATATGCACGGMGTCCGCACAGCTCACGGACCGCACACAATATGGCCGAGTATGTGGGAGCCTTTAGGCTCAAGGAAGACAGCAGCATTTCTGGACGGTATGGCTTTTCTTTGCATGACAGAGCTTCAACCAGCATTTGTGGATGACACAGCAAACTGTGTTTGCAGACAGTGATTTGTGGAAGTGTTTGTATATTCCTGCAACTGGTTTTGATTTGCATTTTATTGTTATATTTATTTTTTCATTTTTGAGTTGGCCATCCTGATCACACACTCCTTGTCAGTTGGTATAATACACCATAAATGTCACTGGGGTGACAGGAGGTAGGAGTTCGTCCTGTAACCAGTGGGTTACTGGTTCAAAATCCCACTACGTCTGTCTCAGTCATCGTGTCCTTGGGCAAGACACTTCAGCTGCCTTGCCTGGTGGTGGTCAGAGGTGGTGGTGCCGGTGCATGGCAGCCTCACCTCAATGGGTGAATGGCTGTAGTGTAAACCACTTTCAGGACATTTTACCATAAAGTTGTTTGCTAACCCCTAATCAAGAGAAAAAAAGAGAACAGGTGTGGAGGTATTTCAAAATGAATGATGGAGCAGAAGAGGGTAATATTGTTTATTACTTCAGTCCAATGGCCGAGTTGAATGCCATAATTATTTTGTTAGATATTTTGCTAACAGACAGACAGCTGACTGTCCTAGTTCACAGCAAAGTTTTAAAATCAGGCATCACTCGATCATTTAGGGATCAATTGAAGCTCCTACATGGCTATGTTGGAAAAATATGCGTTGTTCAAAATGGTATGTCCGAATAAAACAGGAATCCGCTGGATTTCTTCTTAAAACTTTATTTTCAATCTTCTGACTCCAATCAGGTTCATTCAGCTCTCAGCAGCACAGGCCTCAGTCAGACCTTCAGCTGAACCAAAACAAACAGACAAGAGCTCTGCTCTCAGCAGACGCTCTGCAAAACACTGACAACTTCTTTTCTATAATAATGAATTTGAGCTTATAATATTCATCTCTTCCTGGTTACACCCTTGGAGGTGTTACCTTTACATCAGACGTCAGAACGTCACTCAGTTTTGTTTAGGCTAAAGAAAGAACACTTGATAAGACACACCAACTCTTCATCTGTTTTAACCTTACAGGCTGAAATGATCAGAACATATA